TGTTCCCTTTGCTGTGGGAAAGGTGCCATCCACCCCAGGCTGCTGCCTCCGGGCTGGGGGCTGAGGATGCTCCCCCTGGGACACCGGCTTTATTGCAGAGCAAGACATCTGCTGCTGGGGAGGGGGCTGCTGGGGGGTTTTGCTCCTCTTCTGTTCCAGGACTCACGTTGTTCATTGCACAAGCAGCAGAGTTAACTCTCAGCAACGTGACCTCACTGGCACGTGAGGAGTGAGGCTTGTCATCGTCCGAGGAGACAGGGACACAACGGGAACCCCAGGGCTACAGGCAGGGGAGGAGGAGATGGAGCGGTTAACACGGAACAGAGTCAGGCAAATGCTGTCTAAACCTCCAGACTGTAAACACTCTTCGAGTGCTGTACGTGTGCCCGCCGGGATTCGAGACCTGGAGGCGCCCGCGCGGGTCGGGGCGGCAGTGGGCGCCTGGGCGGGCGGCTGTGAGCGGTGGCCGCTCTCTTCGCAGCCAACAGCATGGCACAGCGTCTCCTGGGCACTCTGTGACCCCGGCTCACAAAGGGCTTTCATTCCTCACTGACACGTTACTGCTCTGTGTTTTTAACCACCAACCTGTAGTCTTGTGATAAAAGCCTTTCCTCCAGCGAGCAAAACCACCACTAGATAGCATTAATGTCTTCTCTAGGAAAACACGGGCTTTCCGTCAGGCTCTGGAGAAGCTGCCAGATGAGCAGCCGGTGATCAGAGAGGAATGACTGGTGTGTGGCCCAGCAGAGAAAGTGCTCAGTAATTGCAGTATCAGGCCCAGCAGCGTCAGCGTGGTTTTGCAGCCGAGGTACCACCCTGGAGCCTCCGAGAGTGTGCCGAGTTTTGCTTATGTCTTTATTTCCTTTAAGTGGCAATTGCCCTAGGAAAACCCCAGAGGAGATTCAACCCAGTCAACGCAGCCATTTCGTAACGTGGGAGTCTGATCTCACCTGTGAGGTGGAGGAGTTTCAGCCGGGATGATGCTGGGGTGATGCAGGGCTGGAGTGGCGGCTGCTGGGGGCAGGTGAGGACATCTCCTTCGCTGCGCAAAGCAAAGCAAAGCACGTTAGAACCAGGCGCGGGTGGCTTTTGGGATGGCTTCGGTCATCACGGGGATGTGGGTACTGCCAGGGGAAGGGCACGTGGCACCCTGTGCAGCCCAGGGCTCTCGCGGCCCTTGGGTCGCTTCCTGACGGTCACTTTGGGTGGCACCAGCGTGGTGACAGGCGCCCGCCCCGAGCAACGCCCGGTGGTGGGGGGCGGCGGGGGAAGCAGGGGGGGGTCGCCAAAAAAAGTCGGTGCTGCCAGAGGCGGGTGTGAGCTGCGGGCACCCCGGGCTGTGCAGCAGCAGCAGCAGTGACGCGCTGCCGCAGCCCACCTGCAAAGGAGGCGAAGCCGGTTCGGATCCGGTGCTGCAAATGGAGTGGGGTGACGCCAAAATGCAAAGGGGCAAAAGGAGCCGGGGAGCCTGACGGGTGCGTGTTCCCTTCCCTGACCAGGGCCTTGGAAGCGGAGCAGCAGAACAAGAAATAAAACCAGTGAGCGGCTGCTGGGAGCTGCCAACTGTCCAAGCCCTCGTGCCTCACACGCTGTGTGAATAGCAGGGGATTTGGGGGCAGCAGCAGGCACAGATCTGTGCAACCCCCTGTGCCACGCAGCAGCGGGAGCCGGGCTGCCTGCCCCTCGAGGGGAAGCACTTTCCAAGTCCCCAGCCCTGACCTGGGCTCCTGTCCCACAGCAGCCTCCGCTCCCTTGCTCCGGAGGGGGTTTTGGGAAGGGGTGATGGGCATCCATGTGCCGATAGAAGGTGGGTCTTGTCCCTCATTTGTCACCCGTCTGCTCCAGGTACAGCTTGCTGATGGGGCAGAGCAGGACAGGCTCCAGGCTGGCACCAAAACTGGCACCAAACCCCCACCCGAGCACTGAGCCTCTGCACGTGGGGCGAGGAGCCCCCCAGTAACAGGGGCTTCAGCTTCCCGTCGGGGCCGCCGGCGCCTGGCACAGAGCGGCTTCCAGCAGTGAGGAGGAAACAAGCAGTCTGTTTGGGAACGTTCTGGAAACAAAGGTAAGAAGAAAACTGTTAAAATGAGAAAAAGATTGAAAAAATGCAATCCAAGTGTGGTCAAACACAGCTTTTGCTTAATGTCATGTAAAAAGCACAGCTTATGCCTGAAGGAAGAGTAAACCTGGGGCTTTCACGCTGCTCTCGTGCCAAGATGTCCCCTGCAAAGCCCGTGACAGTCTGCCTGGCCGAATTGCCAGCACACCTTTGTTAACTTGGCTTTTTAATTTTGGGATCTGTGTGTTTTCATGGCGGGATGGAGATGCTGCAGGCATCCTGCGTGAGGCACCTCTTCCAGCCGACCCCATCCCC